TCCCTTCCACCCCCTAGGGTCTCGGGGTCATCCGCGGGAGGACAAAGGGACGGGTGCACCCCGTCACACAAGGGGTTTGGTTCGAACTAATGCGTCCCGGCGCGCACTTTCATTTTCGAAACAGCTGGCATTCAGAGTAACGCGTTGGCGACTTCATGCTAATGAAGTGTGGGATATTTAAATCCCCGCTTCATTGACTATTTCAAATGCCTGCATTTGCATCCCTAGTTCGAACTAGGGTGCAAGTGTAGACATACCCTAACAGAAGTTGCTCCAACAAAAGATATTACCTCACCTGCTTTGGGTATCTTATATGGTATCAATGTGTCTACAACTTTGCAAACAGTGAATTTAAATATCATTGTTCCTTTTAAGCACCCTTATGCTAACTCTCCAATCTATGTATATTTATATTAGAAATTGGCCAAAAGCAAAACCTCTGATCCAAACACCCTTAGACTTTAAGGATTTGGTTCCAGATCTGAATTTGAAACTCAAGTCCCTCTGCAGTTCATACTGTTCTAAAATTATTTCTTACTTACATGTTACCATACATCAAGGATTCTCAAACTTCATCGCCCCACAGCCCCCTTCTGACAACAGAAATGATGACATAATCTCAGGGTGGGAGAGGGTGGAAGACTGAAACTCCAGTCCTCCACCCTGGATGAGGGGGTTAAAGCCTGAGCCTCACTGCCCTGGACAAGGGGTCTTAAGCTGAAGCCCAAGAGGTTCGATTCGGGCTTCAGTCCTGAGCTGCAGCAAGTGTAAGCCAGTCCTGTCAATCCCATTAAAACAGGGTTACAACTCAAGTTCCCTCTAAGGTGTGTGGCAGCTTGACCCCACCCAGGGACTCAGGACTCTGGGCGTGGAGCTGCTTGGCTGGGGGAGGGGCACTTCTCCCTCTGCTACTGCAGCAGCTCCCTGCTGAGGACAAAGCAGTGAGCCTCTTCCAGCCATGTCCTCTCCCTGCATCTCTGCCTTGAGCCATTGGGTGGGGCTCATTAAGCATCTATGGGGCTGTACCATTGCACATCTTAGAGAGAACTTTAGTCACAACCATAGATGTAAATAACATTTTACAAAGATGCTATTAGATGAGGTCTTTCTTCCATAGTAATGTATCGTGTATCAAAGAATTAATGTTAGGTCAGGAATAAGGGAACACTCCATCTGAGGAGATCAGTGAGGGAAGACTGGGAGCAAGTCTTTACTACAATGTAACATTGGTGCAGTTGCACTGCGAGAGCACTCTCTTGTCAGCATCATTACTCCACTTTGGCGAGCAGCAGAAGCACATCTCCTGCTGACATAGTACTGATGTTGACAACATAAAACTGATGTTACCTTGGGAGATGGGTCTTTTTCACACACCTGAGTGATGTAAGTTGTATTGACTTAGACCAGTGGTCCCCAATCTTTTGGGACTGCCGAGTGCCCGGGTGCGGGGCTGCACATGTGCCGCGTGCCTGGGGGTGGCACCGTGCATGTGCCGTGTGCCCGGGGTGGGGGCTGTGCATCTGCCGGACACCCAGGGCGCAAGAATGGCTTGGGCTGGCCCTGTTCACTAGGTGGGCGCACAGAAATGCCCCGGTGGGCACCATGGCGCTCGCGGGCACTGTGTTGGGGACCCCTGTCTTAGACTGTAGCCTAGACCCACCAGCCCTGAAAATGAATGATTGTTCTATAAATCTATGGATGAAAATCTACACAGTGCTTCTAAGACAGCTGGGAGAGATGAGGTAGCTTTAAGCCACTTTAACACCCTTACCATCCTGGGTTGCTTTGGGGGACAGAGAGGCTCCTCATTTAACTTAGCCTTCAGGGTCTGTCTATGGGTATGTCTACCTTGTTCTTAAGTGAAGTTAACAAAATTGTGTTCATTACCATGGATTAAAACACACTGTTTTTGCAGTATAAAGAGAACTCAAGTTAGAGCAGCTTTCCTGGGCTGCACTGTGGGCTACAGTACTGTATACTGTGGGTCTCCCCAGCACAACTCTCCTGCTCCTAGGACCTAAGTTCCCTCTAAGCTGCATGGCCATGCAGATGTGCAGCTTCCCATTAAGTCCCATGCCGGGGATCAGGGCTGCAGTGGGGAGAGAAATCTCTTCTAAGCTGCAAAGTTGCCAGGAATGGTGGGGAGGAGCCTCTCCCCACTGGCTCCATCAGCGAGCTGCCATGGCTGAGAGAAAGGGGCTCCTCTTCACTGTCCCCAGCAGGGAGTTACCCAGATAAGCCTGAGCTCTGGCCCCCTTGTTCTACCTTGAGCCCCCCAGCCCTGAGAAACCTCCTGCATCCCAAAGTCCTCATGTTCTCACTGAAAACACAGGGATTTTGCCATTAACTTCTAAGGGACAGTAGATGACATGTTAAGTTATTGCCTATTTACAGTTGACTATGCAAAAATTGTATGTTTAATGACTGTCTGTCAATGCACTTAAAGACCTTAATCCGGCAGTGTAAAGTGAGTGAGAAGACCTGTGTTCCTTTGAGGAACCCTGTTGACTTCAGTGGAGCTGCAGGCAAATAAAGATGTTCTCCTGTGTATTATTAATTACAAGATAAATGTCTCTATGAATAATAAGTTTCAGCCAGATGTGTATTAAAAGGGTTCACTGTACTGATTTTTTGTCAATCAATTAAATGTTAAACCCTATAGAAACATTTAGAAAAAGGCAACTATATAAAGTGTATATAACTGATAAATATAATTCTTTGCCTAACTTTTAAAAGTTCTATAACTTTGTCAAACATAATGCCTTGTGTTTTCTCAAGCAGTTTTTGGAGTATCTGCTGGTTTACCTCCACTCATAAATACCATAGTCAGTCCAGGATTTTTGCATTTGAATAAAGTTCCCCAGGTATGTTTATCAGTGTGAAATCAGTTATATCAAATTGTATATTTATGAAGTATTTTGCATTAAAATGTGAAATAGATCTCAAGAATTTACAACTAATACGGTCTTAAAATTACTTTGTGTTTAACATATACTATATAAGATGATTTCAAAGGGCTTTTTAAATAAGATAGTCAGATCTGACCTATCAACATTGAAGAGTGCTTAGTGTCTAGATGCAAATTATCGTTATATTTTTTCTGAATTTTTGATTCACTGTTACCTGATTCTGTCATGTCAGAGAGACCTTAATGTTTCTAGAAAAAGCATCCGTTTCCAAGTAACAGGTTGAGTAATATGTACTGTTGATTCATTTTCTAAATAGCTCATTCAAGAACAAAGACTTTTTGGAAAATAAGTCTGATTCGAGGCTGAAAGTGTGTTATCGTTATCTTGGATTGTAAAGTCATAGTATCATAGAACCATAGAGCTGGAAAAGACCTCAGAAGGTCATCAAGTCCAGCCCCTTGCTCTAGGCAGGACCAATCCCAACTAAATCAACCCAGCCAGGGCTTTGTCAAGTCTGTAATGTTTACTATATACATCATAGCAATAATAGCACAGCCACCCTCCCTTCATTGTCCCCAGCTCAAGATGGATCATTGCAGTGCTCTTCGTTCCTCAGTAGTTCTCTGTAGATAGATAGATTAACTGCAAATTCTTCTCCCTGGTTGTTCATCAAGTTCTTCAAAAAACAAAACAAAACAAAAATCACTGTTGACCCCAAATTGGTTCTCCCGCTGTTTAAGATCACCCGGAACAGTGGGCTCACCAGGGTCCAAATGCTGCATAGACTGCAACAACGCAATGCCACCCTCAGACTGCCACATAAAATGCGTCAGGTGCCTTAGGCACTCCCACGTTCAAAGGGACTGCCCACACTGTGCTAAACTTAAGGCACGAATGCGGAAAGACAGAGACCTCCATTTAAAAATGCTCATGATTGAGAAGGGCAAACACCCTTCCTCAGATCGGGCTCTCAGCAGACTGCCAATGATAAGAGGGACAAACCAAAGAAATCACTGAAGAACTGTGCCACCTCTCTGCCACAACATTTGCACTCACCTAAATGGCATTTGACGAAGTGGCAGGTGACTAAAGCTGTAAATCACACCTCAGCACATACAATAAGCTGGGCACCTCTGATGCTGACCGAGCTCCCCACCAACATGCCTCACATGGTGCCTGTACAGAGGCTACCTGCCTCACAGAACTTGGCACCAAGTACGGCACCAAAAAGCACAGTTCTTGAGATCATGGCACCGAGAGTGGTTACTACATTACCACAACAGCTGACAGAGCAGCCTATTGGCACCCTCCTGCCTTTGCTGACCACAGCAAGTTCTCACACTGTGTGCTCTGCACGTAGAATACCACAAGTGCCAGTGCCACTTGCAAAATCATTAGCCTCAATGCCTTTCACTCCTACCATTAGCTACCGGCATCAGAGAGACCTTGCGGTCTCAACTTTTAACTCTCCATTTTTAAGCACTGACAAACTATTTTACTCGACACCATCAAAATACATGTGATCACCTACTTCGTTATCAAGTGATGATGATGAGGAGGAGCCACAGGTTTTCTCACCACAGCTGTCACCACGCACAAAAACATCAGGACATTCGTCCCATGCTGATTTTGCCACCCTGGCCCCTGGGCTCCATACTCGTGGATACCACCACCTATGCCTTATCTACTGCAATGGCAATATTGGAGCCCATGGCCTTAACATCACAAAAAAAGGCCATATAAGACAGAGCACACCTACAAAAGCACTTTGTTCTTCTTCGAGTGGTTGCTCATGTCCATTCGAAGTAGGTGTGTGCACTGCGTGCACCGCTTCTTCCGGAGTGTTTTCCCTAGCGGTACCTGTAGCGCCGGCAGGGCACTCTCTGGAGTGGCGCCGCCATGGCGGGGCATAAGTACCCCTGCCGGCGCTGCCCCACCTCAGTTCCTTCTTACCGCAGCGACGGTCATTGGAGCGTCTCCATATCTCCCAGCCTACTTAGTTAGTTAATGGTTCCCGTTTTTCACATTCGTTGTAAATAGTTCTCATAGTTAGGGTATGTCTACACTACAAAGTTAGTTCGAACTAACATCCGTTAGTTCGAACTAACTTTCGTAGGCGCTACACTAGCGCTCCATTAGTTCGAATTTAAATCGAACTAAAGGAGCGCTTAGTTCGAACTAGGTAAACCTCATTCCACGAGGATTAAGCCTAGTTCGAACTTACTAGTTCGAATTAAGGGGTGTGTAGACCCTTAATTCGAACTAGTGGGAGGCTAGCCCTTCCCAGCTTGCCCTGGTGGCCACTCTGGCCAACACCAGGCAAACTCTACTGCCCCCCTCCCGGCCCCGGAGCCCTTAAAGGGCCACGGGCTGGCTACACAGTTTGTGCCAGTTGCAAGGCTGCCAGCACC